TGGCATTGACAGTGAAAGTGTTTGTTAATATCATCAAATTTGTTGGTAAATATTCCCGATTGTTTTCCGCATAGTTTTCTTGCTTTCACTATTTTGAATATGATTACGATCGTGGTCTGAAATTGAATTATAATATGCAAGTGACTATTTTGGTTGCATCACAAGTTGCGTGCTAGACGGTATATTATCACTATTTCTTACATCAGAAGGGGCTGAAACTGACAATTACATTTAAAAGGCCACCGTGGACGATAAACATATGTTTTACGACCTACTATCAATATCAAGATTCTAAAGATGTTTCCTTTCTATTTTTGTCTAGATAAGTCTTTAAGTGGTCATCACGCAATGCTATTTAGAATAAGTATTATTACAGGTATTTCGTAGTCTTGCTTAACTCCAAATAAAGTGTTTTAGTATCATCGCAACCTCGTTGTGATGATACTAAAACACTTTATTTGATGATATGAGATGAAATAACAATGTCAATACAAAAGAACTTAATTATGTCTTACCTAATATCTACATTTTAACACATTCGCTGACATTTATTTATTTGTGTAGCAAGTGAACGTTGCAGGTCAATTTTGAGAAATACATAGGTTACAGGTTAATTCCTTGTCAAAGAAACCAAAGGTCAAGTAGTCCTAGTAACTGATAACTGACTGTTTTAGACAAAGATCGAAGTATAAATCAGATGACTAAAATGGTACACAATCACTTCTTAAAACTCCTGAAGTCCTAATCATTCTGTCTTATTCGCATATAGGAATAGAGGTCTTCTGGTTAATAGTACTACACTAGGACCCTTAGGCAGTACTAGCATAGATTATGTACTTTAAAGTTAAATTATGCTTATAAGGAGTGGTATTATGAGGTCCATTTTGATCGATTCCAATAATTAAAAGACATTTTGGGAAAAATCGAAGTCTGTCGTTCGACAAATACTGCGCAACCGAATATTTGGTTGGACCCGCTTATACATGCTGTATTATTATTATTATTATATTTATTATTTATTATTATATTATCAAAAATCGCGGAAGGGGGATTCGGATAGCCCTAGTTATGCTCTACCTCTGGGCTGAAGCCCAGCTCCTGGCAGCCCAGAAGCTGAAACTTGACACTACTTTTTGGGACAACCTGTATTGTTATGCCTAAAGCCTAAACAAATGCACTATGTCCATCATGATTGCACAACGTGCTATACCGGCAAATGACAATATTTCGGCGCGCACTTAAAATGCAATCTGCGTGTGCGCAGGGACACGTAATCTTAGAAAGCTCCTGCGGATTACTATGGAGGAACTTCCGCGGAAGTAGACGCGAGAAATAAAATTACGTAGCACATCAGCCTACACATTTTTTTGCAATCTAGCACCTATTACAAATAAATAAGATACCAGTGCAGCAGTGTTTAGAAATACGTATAGACGACAACATGTCAAGCTACACATTATTATCTATTTGTAATACAGGCGAATTTGCAATAAAAATGTGTAGACTGTTGTGCTGCAAGTAAATTGTTTTAGACGTAGGAAGTGCATGATAGACTTTTTTTTATCTATGAACATGAGTTTGTTATGCGAACTGTTTCATCATTAACATCAGGTCATGTAGTATCCTGTGCAGGAACACGACCTTCTCTAATTTACTACAGGCAAAGAGAATTTGACTTACTCTCAAGTTGGCCAGACGAACTGTTTAGAACTCTCCAATTACCGGGTTCCAAAACTTCTAAAGGTTCTAATGAAGATACTTTCAATTTAAAAATATTTTATCTATGAAATTCGAATGTTTAAGGCTTTGCTAAGGGTTAAATAACGCATAAACAAAACTAAACATTCCAACTGAAGAATTTAACTTGTTTGAAATTTCTCGGTTACATCACATTAACCACTTGACGCCCAGCTATCACTTAGGCAAATCATCCGTTTACCATCACTATCACTACCGGTTTTAACCCGTTACCCGTCGGCGACATTGTATCTGCCCGGACTCCAAATAACGTATCATTAACCCTGTAGAAACTGCGCATATTACGGCAGCCCCATAATAAAAACCGGTTTAAACCGGTTCGAACCGGTATGGGGCTTTTCATCTCGACACGCAGACTCTAATCTGTGTAATAATACGTCGCTACTGTATTTTGAGCTTGTGGAAAGTGTCCAAGGAGATCTGGTGAAGGTGTTAGGCAATCAGGAGTTGTTAGAAGGGATGAGTTTTCTTCGACACTTGACGGGTTAAATCCTCAGGCTATGCAAATAGAGGGTGTTAGGGCTCTTTCAGATGCAATGGAGTATTAGACAGCACACCAAGTTAATCATGGTGGGATCTTATTTAGTTAGCTATAAGTGCTAGTTTAATGTGCATCTGACATGTAAATATCTATCCTCCATCATCTAGCCTAGCACATAATATAGCATAATTATGAAGTCATTGAACTTATGCATAAAAATAAATGTAATGTAACTTCGACGTCTAATCAATCATTAGTTCTATATTTAAAGTTACTGAAAGTGACAGTGGCTAAAAACGTAATTAATCATCTCAAATTACTGTCATGATGATCATAATCACAGACCAGTGATCAATTAGAAAATGCTGTTTAAACGCTTTTTATCTGCAATTTTTTTGCATAATAACGAGTCATGGCATCTGCTCCTTTCTTTCATTCTGCGCACGAGTCTGTAGTATCACTCTTAGTGTGTAGTTTATTGCTATTGTCGACCTTATCTCATTGTTTTAAAGCACAAAACTGCCTCATCTACGTGTGCGTATCTTTGAAATGTCCCCCAAATTATGAATAATTCTTCGTTGACAAAAAATATTCAAATATAACTGACCGCGCAAACTTGTACCGCCTATGTTAATCAGTAATAATATAAGATTCTAATGGTGAAAGAATTTTTCAAATCGGTTCAGTAATTTCGGAGCATATTCAATACAAACAAACAATAAAATCTTTCCTCTTTATAATATTAGTGAAATAAAACCAAAAGACCTGCTTTAAGTCTTTAGAACTAATTAAAGTAACGTAAAGACTGGGTCAGTTTATTCGTGCTCTACAAAACTAATTTCTACGTCCAATGTCGAAAGAGTGAAATTTGCATAAGTAATGGTCCATAACGTCTAAGGTCGCGTTTGGATTGTAACAGATAACTCGAAAGTAATGAGTTTACTCATAATAATTTCACAGTTACTTCACTTAGGGTTGGCAATAACTTTTTTTACCTTAATTTTTCACCTGCTATAAAAATATTATGATATAAACTCATGGAAAGGGAAAAGAAGGAATGTAACGATATTCACAATTCCCAATTTGAACCATAAACAATTTAGTAAATAAATTCAGCGCAGGACCGTTCATTATGGAAAGCCGTGGGGGAGGCCTTTGTCCAGCAGTGGACGTCATTTGGCTAAAACGAACGAAATAAGTATGCCAAAAAAGTAATTACCCACTTACATTAAAATATTTAAGGTAAAGTAGTAGGTAGTATAGTATTAGTGAAAATAAGTGGTTTGTTCTAATCCACCTTCCACCATTCGCCAACTAATACCCGCCAGCCACAGAACAATACTTAAACAATGTTTTTGTATTTATTATGAAAATCGGAATAATCTACTTCAGTAATCAATTTTACTAACATTTTTACTCTATTTGCCAATACTAGATTAAAAACTAACTTTGAGCAGCCCTATGTCTGCAAATGTTTTATTCACAGTTAAAGCATTCGGCTCGGCGCGTTGGCTCACTTTCAAAATAACAGTTACCCGCTTTATGTAACTCGCGTAACATATTATTTACATTGTTTTCAGCTGTTAAGTAATTAAACAAATCTCTTGATATCACTCTGTGGCCATTAGTTTTAGTTGTAACGAGGCTTAATTGTTACAGCTTTACTGTTACAATTGCTTGCATGTAGAGATATTCGCTCGACGAATGTTCCAAAATCTGTTAAATTCCTTGTAGTTATTCTGGAATGTTCAGATTCTGGTAGAGTAGAGAATAAGGGGAATAAAATAAATAAATAAATATCCTTGGACATTTTACACTACGCTTCTAGTCCCAAACTAAGCCAAAGCTTGTTCTATGGGTACTAGATAACGGATATAAACATACTAAAATACTTTTTTTTGTAAATACATACTTAGTAACACCCAGACCCGTCACAGAAATTAAAATTCATCATTTCAATTTCTGTCCGGCCGGTAATCGAACCCGGGACCTCTCGGCATAGTAGTCCGTTGTTTGTTAGTCGAATGTTTTTGCAAAAATTACCGAATACTAAAAATTTTATGAAGTTGCATGTTTCCTTCATGCAGAAACTACCACATGAATTATGATTATTGTTTGTAATGAATTGCTCATCAGGATATCACATAATAAGTTAAAATTAATCGAAATCTACGCGGGAAAAGCCACCGGCTGAAACTCGTACGTGAATAAATTCCACTACCTCTTTATTTCCGCAAACGGCAATTCCTTACGTAGTACGCATTGTTGTTAAAATATTGATAAATAAATCTCCATGTCCAACCATAACATGCATTGTTTCCTTTTATTTAACTTAAGTCATATGTTTACAAAAGTCGGACAGTAGTGAACGAGTGTTCTCAGCAGTTGGTGTGTTCTCGTTGTGCTGATAGGGCAAAAGCTTTATTAAAAGCAAAGTTCTTTTTAATTGTGAAGGGGTCAAGTCCTCCATTTGGCTCTGATAAATTAGCAAGGTGTGTGGTACTCCAGTGCACACCAAATTATCTAATAAGGTGGGTGACTGAGTTTCTTCCGCCACTTCTTCTCAGCACCAGCCCATGTTGTCCCGAAGTGATGGCAGGGCAAGCTATATCAAGCTATATTCGGGACGTGTATAAGTGCGCTGGAAAGGGCCTACATACTGAATAAATATTGACTGATTTTAATAAAGATAAAGTGCTCCAATACTAAAGAAAACTTGATAAAAGTGAAGAAGATGACTAATTTCGACCTTTCTTTCCAGACCACAGACAGCGCAGACTTCCTGGCGACGCGTGCGCATACGGCCGCAGTCATCCCGGGCAAGCCGGCCGCCAACCCTCTCCAGTTCGTCCGGGTCGGGCCCGCAGACCTCGGCAGCAGGGCCCGTGAGCAGCTCCGCAGGGCAGAGCTAGCCAAACGCACAGAACCTAAGATCGAGATACAGGAGGACTGGCAGTCGGTGAGTGGTTGTGCCATTTTTGACTTAGTGTGTAATGGACTGACCAATGTGTGTTACCTGTGATGACTTATGCGGACGAAACGCAGCGTGAGACGTCCACCCACAAGGTGGACCTACGACCTGATAAAGGTAGCAGGAAGGCGCTGGATGCAGGCCGCTACCAACCGTGCGATGTGGAAGTCATTGGGGGAGGCCTATGTTCAGCAGTGGACGTCCTATGGCTGAAATGATGATGATGTGTAATGGACTAGGGCTGATTTTCCAATTGCTGGCGACGCGCACTTTACACGTCGCACTCTGTGAGTGATAGTTTTGCCATTTTCGGCTGTGTATCTATTGGACTAAGGGCTAGTTTTCCAAGTCATCTCCCAGTAACCCCCTCCATTTCATGCGGGTTTTTCCTCAACGATAAATGTGATGGATAGATCATCAGAATATTTTTTATTAAGATCCACAACCACAACACTATTAAAGTGACACATAATTACGAAACCTTTATAGTCCCTTTTCGAAACACATTAGCTTTTGGATAGCATATTTTATTGTAGATTTCTCATCCACTTTCTGTATCATTTAGAACACGTATTCGACAATAACTGTTAGAATTGCGTTACTCAACAAAAATCAAAACATTTCACATGATGTACGCATATGTGTGCCAAGATCATTACAGTAATGACTCTGTTTACAAAACATCAGCTTTCTATTCAGCCATTTGCCGTTTGATGGTGTGGTCTTTAAGGCGCCCTTAGCGTTTTGGGGACGACCGCGCTTTGCCACATTTAGGTCTCAGAAATCATCCTGTGGCTTAGTAATTGCTTTACGTTGATGACATTTTAGTTGTTCTGTGGGAACGGCGTTATTAGCTTCTTTATTTTAATTTTTACAGTTTCAAGTTGCGATGGGACGTTGTGGTGATATACAGGGTTTATTTCTTTTCCTTGATATGGAATTAACCACTTTTGACGTATTAGCTGAAAATCGTATATAAGTAGTCATGCATAAACACTATGTCCATTAATTACAGTTCATGTAAAACATACAATTGAGAAGGCTCTTGAACGTAAAATAAATGTCAAATTAGTTGTATTGGCATATCGTACGATATTATTTACTACATGAATTCATAGAAAAAGGGGGTTATCGGATAAAACTCATCAAACTCATATTTTTTGCAAGTAGGCATTCAAAAATCACTTTTACACGTCCCAGTATTATCCTTACCACTGCTTCGGAACAATAAATAGGCCAGTGCTGAGAAGAAGCAGCGCAAGAAACTCAGTCACTATCATTTATTGTAAAATTCGGATCATTCGAATGTAAAACTAATCAAGCATAACATCGACCTTTATCGAAACGTGATTTGCTGTTCTCCTTGTTCTATACCAGAACCTTCCAATTAAAATAGCTTACACGTCTCGCGAGACGTGGCATCTGCTCGATTTGTCATTTTTTAAACGACCTTAATTACCTTTCCTTAGAACTTGGAGAAAGCTTTCTTCTTGATCCGAAACGGGTTAATTGGCATCGGTTTCTGCCATATTGTGCTGGCCTGCAATAGATACAGACGTAGTAGGCCCTTGCATTTGTGAAGAGTCATTAGACATTGCAGAAACAGTCTTCAAGCGGAGAGAATTTGAGGTTCTTTTACAAACTTGACCTTCACTGGTTTTTAATGGCGGTCAAGCTGTAGATCCTGGCTACACAGGAGTTGCAGTGGTGGGATTGAGATATGGGAATAGTCCCGTGGAACCTGAAATTCAGTATAGTAAAGGACTATTTTGAAAATATAAGTAACGATCTAATTATTCACATTAGCTAGCAGCGATTGAAACACCTTCAAATTCTCATATATTGGGAGTGTCTACTCCTTTATGCAGCATAATAGGCTTTAGGCCTTTGTCCAGCAGTGGACGTTATCTAGCTGAAATGAACTAACGAATTCCTTTAAGATATCTATAGCATCTTTACAGAAAACTTTAGAAGGTTTTGAACTTCCGAGGTGCCTATGAACCTTCTGAATTACTTTCCGAAACTATTATTTCCGTTTCCGAAATGAAGTATAATTGTATATTGATTTATCGATGAGTTTCACAATGCTCATGTTTGGACATATGATTTTATGCATCGTTAAAAGTGGTATTTTTATATGACCATAAAGTGGTTGCTTTCACGGTTGTGATTTACGGGTTCTTTCACTTTATTTTCTTCTTAAAATAATTCATTTATTTATGTTTGGAAAGCAGACGCAATCAACGCTTTGGACTACAACAGTTGTCAATTTAAATTATCATAATCATCAAAGATTCTTCCAAAAGCAATCCACTAAGGATTTCCAATTACCTTTGCTGATGCTTATTTCAATCTCAGTCACTGGAGTAAAAGGAGATTTTATATTATAAAGACTTCTATTATTATCTAGTTATTAAATTTTCTTAGCGTTAAAAATCTCATTTATTATTTTATTATTATCTTCTATCATCTCATCATCACCGTTCTTTTTGTCATGATCATCTTCATAAACTATACTCCATATCGGCACTCCTTTGTCACTACATTAATACTTATCATTGTCGTCTCAAACATCTTTGTAAATCTTCATTTTATTTAATCCCGAGTCTCCTCTGTCTTGTGATGAGTCAGTAGTCATTGCACATCCACTCGACATAAGATGCTGGCTTTATGGAATCAAGCTTAAAAACTACCTTCTAAAAACAAAATTGCTCTAGGAAGTTCAGTGTTCTCTTCATTATTTTTAGCATCCGTACCAATTATTTTTCCCTAGCAATCCCTATCCTGCTGGAAGCCGGGAATGCACATGTTTATTGTTTACCTTTGAACGCGCCGCATCACATACCTCTTTGGTATTCCCTACGGTCCCCACACCGGAAATACGTCGTCGTTGCCTCGTCTGCGGAATGCGCAGTTTCCGCTCTGTGAGAGTTGTCATTTTTTTGCGCGCTTGTTTTGTTTTTGCCCGTTGCCAACTCTGGTCTAGCGTTCGTTTTTTGAATTCGATTTGCCGAATCACCAGCCATGATTTTTTCAGAGTTGAAACTATTTGCTACATTAATTAATTCGCCAAGATAATAGTTGCAAAGCCATTATGTTAATGGGATATATTTATATTGCGATCGATATAAATTATTGCCTATTCAGTAGTTTATCTCACTACACAATTGTTACTTTAGTAGTTTAAGATCAATGGAATTTTGGTCAAAATAATTTAAGCGAAATAACTCAACGAAACACTTCTACGCGTCGATATTTCGTCTTAACTATCCGTTACAGTTTAATGGAACACATTGTGCAATACAAGTATTTCAAAAATGTCTGGTTCCAACCTTAATACTAGTCTAGTTTGAGACCGGCGGGTTCCAGCAAGATCTATTAAGTTTGGTCCAAGATTAAGGCGAAAAGAAGAGAAGGAATCAAAATAATTCTCTGACTGAGGACAGTAACGCCCGTATTCACAAACGATGCTTGTTAAGTGAAATCGAACGCACAGCGTTTAATAGAGCTCTGTGATTGGTTGATGTGTCACCCTGTGCGACCACGCGCACTGTGAGACCTCATAGTAATGTTTGTGAATACGGGCGTAATCGATCAATTCAAAGTAAAGGAAAAGTGGCTTAGAAGAAAAAAAGATAAATGACGTTTCAGTAAAAAAAACCTTATAAGAATACAATACCATTGACTCATGAGTTGATGACTATGGTCATCTTTAGTAATTACACAGCTTTGTTTTTTTCTATTCTAATGAGTGTGACATCATGTAAAGTATGAGCTATATACTTTCATAATGATTCTGTAAGAAATACTTTGCCTGCGGCCATACAACCTCAAAGGCCTTACAAGTATCACGAGTAAATAAGCATCTGTTGGGCAAACTCGCTCTATCAAACATTCGCATGCTTGGGTAAGATTTTGATTACAATTTTAATAATATAATTTTACTTGTAATATATTTACTAGAACCACGCTTCACCTTCCAACTTACACCACACGAACAATCCACGGAGCTTGTAAACAGTGGCAGCGAAACTGAGAGAAAAAAAACCCTTGATCGCCGCAAGCACGCGATGTTTACATTCTACGTATACCCACTTATACCCTGCCAATAGAGAGCGCAATCAGTCACGTTTGATGAGAAATTGTTTATGGTACGTGCGAAAATGAATTTTGAGCTACGTGGTGTGATAGCAAATTAATAGTTGGAGTGATTGTTTTTAATGAGTGAGGTTCCTTTGCGAATGGAATAAACTGGTGAGGCTATCCAGCCAGCTAGGGTATTGGCAGAACCCGTTCTAGTTTGCGCTACTAAATTCTTCGTAGCATTCTGCGCATTTGTGCACTTCTTTATATGCAATCGTTTCAGCCAAAGGACACTGTTTCAGCCAAAGGATGGAGGAAAGGTCTCCCCCAAGGATTTCCACAATGACCAGTCCTGTATTGCCCGATTCCGGCTCTTCCCGCTTCTTTCACTAGATCGTTGGTCCATCAAGTGGAAATCCTACCGTCCCTTCTCAAATTGCGGTTTTCTTTTACTACAATAAGTTTTTTTTACTACCAGTATTGCACCTTGGCGTGAACTCTTTAGAGTATTTGGCGTTCAAAATCACTATCTAAGAATTCTAGACGGTACCGCCTCTCTAATTCACTGAATCTAATTTCCATCACGATTCAAAAACAACCTTTTTAGGATCAAACACCTCCATTGTTGCAAATGCAGGCACGAAGCGCACTCGCAGCGTGATGCCAATCAGTCGATGCGTGCGCATGTTTATTGCATTCGGTGCATTGCGTTAGGTCATGGACGGATCCGCTGGGAACAGCTGGTGACCTTGGGAAAAAGAGGAGGTGGCGAAAGTTAGTAGATAAACTATTATCTATACAGTTAGACAAGGATGCGCGAAAATCAGACTATAGTGTTATCGAGGAATTTGTCGATTCTGACGATAAAGACATACATTTGTCGTCCGAAATCCATGCATCCTAGATAGATCTTTCTGAGAAGTTGGTTCATAAAATAAAGTAGCATTTAGCTCTGAATCTTTACAAAGTTGGTTGATATTAAAGTGGACTGCTTACACTAGTTATAATTAAAGTATTTAAGGCTGAGTTGCACCACCTAACTTTAACGGAACTAAAACCATAAACGATGTTTTTGTATGGAATTTGACAGGTTTTTGACGTTTTTCAAAGTTAAAGTAAGATGGTGCAACCCAGCCTGAGTAGTACAACTTCAAAGTTGACTTTGCTAAGTGACCGTTCGGGTGAAAACTACTTTAACTATGAGTATCATACAAATTGAGTAAAATAAGCCGTACTATTAAATAGCGCTACCTGGCTTCGGTCGACTTACAGGCTTATAAATTATTCTTTTTATCTTGATAAATTTTTGCAGTATGAATATTTATGTAAAATGTAGAGTCATTTACCAGCTGTAAAATACTTAAGTTATCGGTTATTTACTTAAACAGTCGAAAAACAGTATAAATACTGTTCTATAAAAACTTGTTAGCCCTTCCTGTTCACCTTCTCTCCGTTGCCTTGGTCCGTCGATAAAGTAAACTGTCAGATACAATTTCCAGATTTTATTTTTAAAATCAGAATCTCAGCTTTTAACTTGAAATCCAATCGTTTAGGTTCACTCATCTTTGTTTTTTTTTTCTTTTTTTTTTGGGTTGTTATTGTGTTAATGACCACACCAGTGGCCTATATTTTATCGATTTTACGCCCATACGTTTGTCGTCTAAAACCATCGATAAGATTTTATCACGACGCGCATCCTAGCTCGGCTGATTGATTTTGCCAACAGTAAACCTTAACATTTTACAATAGACAATTGATAACCATACCATAGCGATAGGTCAATAATAAATTGCAAAAGATTTACGTTAACCACTTTTCATTGTGATTCTGATCTTGACCGCAGATTTGCTCTGGCCATACGATGAATTTAAATGGTCTGAAAATCTATGTATATTCACCCGAACCAATCCTTCTCGGTAGTCTATGAGACGTATATTCTAGATTTATATTCCTTTTGAATGAGTAATGGGAAAGAGCTGGTCCAATTCTGAGATAAGTGTACTCGTAATATCGCTGGCAGAAATGTTAATATTGGAAATGATATTTACATATTGGTGAAAATAGTCAAACATTTATTATAACTAAACTAGATAATCTCGTCATGAAATAAAAAGTTCTGATAAGGGCTGAATTAAGTAGTCGAAACGTTAAATACAAATGAAAACAAGAATTTATACTCGGGAGTCATGAATCATCATCATCATATCAGACTAAGACTGCTAAACACAGGCCTCCCCCAATGATTTTTTGTGTCAATGATTTCAATAAGTCATGAATAGTATAGACATATATGTATATATAAGTAGGTTTATCTAGTAATCATGGTACAATCTGCTTCAGTCAATGGCCAATGGCCAACTCATTGTTAAGACTACCACTATAATATTGTAATGTGACATGCAATAAACGTTTTGAATTTGAAGATACTGCAGACAATTTATATTTATTTATCCTTCTCCTCTTTCCAGAACCTGGACAACTGGAAGTCGTCAAGACGGAAGCGCGTGGAGCACATCATCGAGCGGTGCGTGGAGGTGCGGCGGATGGAGAACGAGCCCACGCAGCCCAGAGCCAAATCCAAGACCTTCAACGAAATGCTGGAGGAAAGGTAAGAGAGAAACTAAAAATAGCCTAAAATTAGTTTGCTTTGCCTAGAACAGCCTCTCCAGTTGGTTCTTAACCGGTGGGAATATAGTTCCCACCATACGGAAGTGGGAAATTCCCACAATATTTTGATATACGGCAGTGGGAATATAGTTCCCACACTTCCCACTATATTTTTAACGTTATTATTAGCTTGTCTTATGATCCAAAAACATTGAAACATTTGATTATGTTATGAATGTTAAAAGTTTAGGGCCTAAATTGGTTGCGTCAAACTGTAGATCCTGGCTACACAGGAATTGCAGCAGTGGCATTAAGAGGTGGCAATAGACTGAAAACTAAAAAGCGTAAGTGAATAGGCATCATAAATCTATCATTGTAACAACATTACTATTTGCTACTGTCTCTGGGGTAAGATTTTGATCAAGAGCAAGCCCGTGGTAGACGAAGGGTTTATTCTTACTTTAGTTTAATTTTGAATGAAAAGATAAGCGCTACATTTAACCAAATTCCATTAAATAAATATGCCTGCTTTTTTCAGCATCATTCTAGACTGCTTCAGCAATTTCTATCCAGGGTGCGACCGTTATCTTACATATATCCGGCAGATCTGGTTTGCATAGCTCTAGGATCGATTGCCATCTGACTTCCGCAGCCCTTTGATATTATGAATAGTTTTAAAAGGTTTCATTTGCTTTTATTTTCACTAGTCGACAGGATTTCCTTGTCACTTTCAAGATAAACTCCAACAGGCTGGACTGCTTTGGTTATTATTGATATATCTAGCGCCTTTTACTATCTGTCTGGATCGGTATAATTTATTTACTTGCAGTTTTGATGTTTTCAATTAAATCGCTGACAGATACGTTTGCATCATAAACAATATTATCACCGTGACTTTCTCGTAATTCGAATTTAACACCGATTTCATTCGAAGTGACTTCAAACGTACCTTCGCCAGTAATGTCATCATAAATTTTCCACATCGTATACCCATTAATCATCTTCAATCTATATTTCGCGGAATTTCTTGCCACACAGTTATTTCGTTTCATCCAATATACAAATAACGAAATTACCTATCTCATATCTAACCTAATAACATACTAATGCAATCGATCATTGCTATTACAAATAATAAATTTGCTTTCTTACGATTGCCTCATGAAGTTCACATACGCACCGCACATACGCCCTTGGTCATTATCATCTTTTATTTCGCAGTAAGGTATTCTATTATTTGTAATCATAGGTTGGTTATGTCACCGTGATTGGTCACGATCGGCATTTTCATAAGGTGCATTATTATGGCGGTACCTATTACTGCGATTTGGGCATTGTCAGTTAAAGTTGAAGTCGTGTGAGTGTGTGTTTTAGTTTGTGTTGTTGTGATATCAGATTTAGATGTGCTTTTGTTTTCTGTGATGTTCCAAAATTGAAAATGATGTCCTATTATGTTGTTATTACGAAAATTACAGTTCACGTGAAACGTAAAAACAGGTTGGCATTCTTAGTAAAATTTGGTCTATGCAAAAACCCACTTAACAGTTTCAATTACTGGACCAGTTAAACTTAATTGTTGTACAAGTTAATCTTCTACAATTAGTCACAGTCCAGTTTACTCATTATGCAGATAGTGTAACAAATCTAGAATTTGTAAACGAGATCGCTATCTGAGATATAACTAAATCGAGTGCTTGCTTAATTACAATAACAGAACAAGCAGAAATTGTGATATAATACACTTAATAAAGTAATAATTAATTTATTAATAACACGTCAATATATTTTTGTATGATCTATAAAAAAGTTGACTAATATTTATTTGATCACGCAAAATGAGATTATTAACAGCATCAATATTTTTATAGTCGACATCTATTAATATTTATTTTATTGAAGTTGATATAAACACTTATTACGATAATTTATTTTCCAATAAATTTTGTAGTCTGTAATAATATAACAATAGTTTTATTTTTAAATTTTGTCTAATTTATTGAAGATATTTACTTCCTTCTAGACTTTTATAGAATCAGATCGTTCGATTTCTATTAGACATAATTTCGCTTGCTTTTTGGGTGACCTTCTTATGAGGCCCATAGTAAGTGACCACGTCTCAGATCCGTATACCATCAGTCCATCACTGGCAATTCTGGCAACACACACTGGTCAAAGACTTTTGTCTTGAGACACTGCGGTATTTCGGACCCTGTTTCCCAGCCGAGCTGGATTCGACGACTGACCTCTTTCTCAAAGTTGGGCCTACCTAACTGGACTGTTTGTCCCAGGTATACATAACTGTCAACAACTTCGAGTGTAGTCTCCATCATTCAGAGAAGTGGGTGTAACACGTACATGTTTGACATGATTTTTGTCTGAAACGAATATATCGCTCACATTCAGCATATGGCAAGTTCTAGGCTAGTGTATAGAAGCTTATCGACTGGCTGCGCTTGTAACACAATATTGGTGTCATTGACTCGTGTGGTTAGCTGCAGTTTCTATTATACTTTGCGATATATAGAGCTTGTATTATATCATTTGCTTTTAAAAATTTAATTTATCTTCATATTACGTTAGAATTAATTACATATCATATTTCGGAACATAAATTAAATCAACGAACTTTAACACGGTAGATATGATTTAGTACCTAATCGCTGTTCAGGAACAAAACAGTTGTAACATGAGTGCGTCTGCATTGAATAGCGATGCTTATCATTACAATCACTTTCAGCAACTTTTCAGTTGCTAAAAGTTTGCAAAAGATAAAAGTTGCAAAACCGTTGCTTTTATAACATTCTTTCATACATCTTAATGTTCATCCCTGTTTCATTGTATAGTAAGTATCGTATAACTATTCCTTCTAGTGAAACTATTTTCATATTTTCTCCGAAAGGAAATCTACTTTCGACCGGTGTCGGTTACGTCCGTCCCGCCCAGCGGCCGTCGCGCGAGTGATCGGGTTACGTGCGCGCGCGCATCGATTAAAAAATCCGAATTAATAGTAGATGCGATAGTAACTCTATCTAATCTTTCACCAACCATTGAACCGATCTGGTATTCTGTATAATATTTGGTACGGAGATAGTTTGAGACCCAAGGCAAACATAGGATAGTTTTTATCCCGGCTTTTGAAACAGGAACATGGCTGGAGTCTTTCTATGAAAAACTCACGCGGGTGAAGTCGCGGTTAAAAACGAGTAATCATTATAATATTTTTGGATCTGATTTTAGCTTTAGGTAAGGTGCGGTAGTTGGTTCTGATAAACCTGAAACCTCCCATCGATTTGACTTAAAACATATTATTTGATGCGATTGACTAACCATTAATTAATTTTAGAGAAACTACAAATCTAATTTTCTTTTGATTGCGAACTAATTGGGTTTTTATGGGGTAAAATTGAGTGTTTTAGTGACTTCTAATTATTGGTTAGTTCACTTTTACATAATTTCAAATCAATTATGATTTCGTCACAATTGATTACGTCACCGGACGTCCGGCTCGGTCAGCTGACCGGACCCAATTGGGTTGCTTGATTGTTCTCGTATTATGGAACAATGGGTTTTGATACGGTATGTTCTCTCTGTTATAACATCTGTAGGCTTAGGATGCGCGCCGCGATAAGCGGTTATCACGCAATTTTGTCGATTTTGCCCATACATTTTGACGTCGATAAAGTATATCACGGCGCGCATCTTAGCCCGGCTGGTTTACATAGTGTAAGGGAAAGGTTGGTAATAATTTAAAAGCTGAAATCTATATCTGCCCCAACCTTAACTTTGAACTCCTCCTATAATATGTTGTCGACATACATATGAGTCGAATGACAGTTAAACTTTCATTCGGGACAAACTTGACCTTCATTTGTTGGGTTTTTATTGGCGGTCAAGCTGTAGATTCTGGCTACACAGGAGTTGCAGGGGTGGCAACGAGAGGCGGGAATAGTCCCGTATACCGACCCTAATCTCAATATCATTATTACGATATTTTTTAAAAATTCTGGATCAAAAGTATTTTTCTAATTTATTTCTGACTAAACTAATTAACACACTATATTATAAGTTACTAGCTTTCCGCCCGCGGCTTCGCCCGCGTGGAATTTTGTCTGTCACAGAAAAACTTTATCGCGCGCGTCCCTGTTTCAAAAACCGGGATAAAAACTATCCTATGTTCTTTCCCGGGACTCAAACTATCTCTATGCCAAATTTCATCAAAATCGGTTGCGAGGTTTAAGCGGGAAAGCGTAACAGACAGACAGACAGACAGACAGACAGACAGACAGACAGACAGAGTTACTTTCGCATTTATAATATTAGTTGGGATGGGATTAGTTGGGATTGACAGTAATGAGGCTACTGTTCTATTGTCCGTATATGAAACGATATTGATTGATACCTCTCTTAATGCTAATAATAGAGTCATATTTGTTTATTTTTAGAATATTAAATTGTTTTGCGGTTGTCCTAAATGCATTTAATTATGTTGAGGTTGGTATAACAAGTTTAGCAAGTCTATAATTAGTTCTTTTTGACGTCAAAGCTAATTAGAATTTAATTATTTTGGCATCAATTTGCCATTATTTATTGATTAAAACTTACCTAATACTTTAATATCGTTTCTTAAACTGGTTTTATACTGTGTTATATATTTTGACTACATCAATGAAGTCAAATACTTATATGGCAAGAGGTCAATATACAAGTCAATTTGACTGCCATGATTTGGCCATTAAAGTTTCCAACTGAAATTAAAAATGAGTTCAATAAAACTTTTCCTAAGAAAACAATTATTATTAAAAACAATAAAACTAAATTCAGTGACTGGGCTACAGTAGGTATTTATATTAGTAGGAAAAAAATGTTTGAATTATATGGTAGAAAAGCCTATAGTAGCGACCCGGACTTTATAGAATATGTAAAAAAATACTCAAAAGTTTTTAAACAAGTTTGTACTATGGCAAAATCTATTTACATACGTGACAAAATTAAAAACTCTGG